AATGGAATACCAAATTAAGGCAAAACTGAAAAGCTATAAAGTGAAAATTGTAAAAAAAGTCTCAGCAGAAAAAATAATTTAAGTACATAATAAGTAATTCAATTAATAGATATGAACATTTTTTTAAACCAGGCTATGACTGGACAGAAATTCCTTTAAAACTATCATACATAACTTCTCAGAGGATAAAAAAAAGTCTTTTCAATCTTTCTTTGTATCTCTAAAAGACAGGAAAGTAAAATAAATGAGCAGTTTTGAAAGTTGCATCCATAAATCTGTCTCATTTCTATCTATAAGAAATGGAAGAAAAAAGAGTATCTATTTAGACATGTACATAGATTCACCATCAAAATGACACCCATATAAACCAAAAACTTTTGAAAATGTTACTTCAGCTCTATGGGAGTATATATTGCTTAATGTCAAACAAGAAATCTATGCAGTCAGAATTAAAAACGTACCACTGCCCTTTTTCAAAGTCTCAACCAGCATCCTATATGTCTCAAGCAGCAAGAATAAAATTCCTTAACATTTTGATAAATGCTAAAATACAGTCTAGAATTACTAGGAGGCCACTAAATTATCAGTCCCTTTATATACTACTGGGGACTTTTCACTAAAAAACACTCTATGTGTAAGCAATGTTGCAAAGTAAGTGACAATACAGACTGTTAAAAAAAAATGAAACCATAATTTCAGATGACATAATAACAGGATTAATGAAGGACCAGAATTAATCTGCTTAGAAGGGGAAAGGCAGCCATAATAACATTTTTGCTAGCATACTTTTCATTCTTCGTATTTTTCCACAGTCAGTGTTTGGGAAGAACAAGATGCTTTAAAGGTCTTGCCATCTGTTGCTGATTCCATGTACTCACAAACTTCGCTTTACTTTTTACAGTGCAGCACTTCATTTTTCAGTTTATTGTCTACCTTTTAGCACAGCAGCCTGCTGTATGCATTTAACTCTCACTGCTGAGATCTGAAAAGCAACATTTACCAGCTTTGTAAATTCTGCCAGCTTCTGTCAGACGTTCAAACTGGCCATATGCCAATATAGAGGGACCTTGTGTGGCAGAATCTCCCATGGGAAGGGGAATCACATCTTGTCCTACAACTCTGGGCTTGGGGGTGACCTTGTGTGGCAGAACCTCCCATGGGAAGGGGAATCACATCTCATCCTACAACTCTGGGCTTGGGGGTGACAAGGTTAGATTACCCCAGCCCTGGTGGTCCCTAAGGGCCTCTTTATGAGCAGCTGCAGGGGCAAGTTTGTTGCATTCATGGAGTATTGATCTTCCATAATAAAGTCCATCTCTGGAGTCACTGCTTTTCAGCAAGGGACATATCCTTGGGGAAAGCACTGTATTAACACAGCTATGGAGCCTGTGAGCCAGCACCAGCTCACTGTGAACCAGAGGGTATGGGCCGGCTGCTCCCACCTGTAGCACACACAGACACCTCCCGGGGCACGGTGACACTGTGCTATAGATGGCAACGTGGTTCTAGGATTAGATTTAAAACAAGAAGCTGTTTATTTTTTGCATCTCTTTTGATCAGATCAGTGATGTCAAGGTCTTGTGAGGGAGAATTGAAGCAAAAATTTGATTTCGTAGGATTATAGAGCAAAATTATCATCCTCACTTCAAAAGTAACCCTCAGTTGTACTCAGATCCAAATTCTGAATCCAATCTTGGACATCACTGCTCCAGCTGAGCTTTGTTCTTAATACCATTCCTCAATTGGTTTCCATTTTCTTGTCCCAATTTGCCAGGAAGCAGAAAGCCTACTTTTACATGGCCTGTTTTATCTTTTTTTATTCAATCCCGACTGTAACCGTGCAAAATCACAGCAACAACACGAGAAGTCAGTGAGGACCATGGGAACTCAGTGTAGAAGGACTCACTTTGGCTTGCCATCAAAACTTTTTGGCCCTTCTCCAGTCCAGTATAAGCTAGCAGTAAATCCCAGGCTTTGCAGTCTGAACCAGTGGTTGAAGCTGTAAGCCCTCACTCACTGCCTTAGGTGCACCTTTCCTCCAGTGTTTATTTCTTAATATGGCAAGCTGGCTTTGTACTCCTCATTTTACGTTTTTTCCTTTGCTTCATCTCTTTCCATTTCCACAGGGAACATCCACAGCCGGATCTTACAGACTTCTCCTTTGCTTTCCAACAGACTGCAGGATAACAGCTATGTTTACAAGACATTTGGCTCTAACTATTTGAACTGCTTAACTGCCTTAATTACTTTAACTTTTAACTGGTTTTACTCTATACAGTCATCTTCAAACAGATTTGTAACTCAGAAGAGTTAGTGCTGTCAAGTATTTAAGCACTTTCCCCTGGCTGAGAACACTACTGCTGATGAGTTAAAGAGATCATGTAAACAGCTGTGTAATTCTGAACTGATAACTTTAACATCGTATTTGCAGTTACTTGCTGGGTCATTTTACATATGTTTCATTGATATGTGCCTCAGACAAATGTGCTTGAAGACTATTTTTAAAATATTTTGCCAAAGAAATGTGAAAATACTTTCCATATCACATTTTGTCTCAGAAAGGTTATACTCCCACTACAGAACTCCTCTTTTAGTTTGCTAAAAATAGAGTTCTCAAGAGACTGTGTGCTTTAAAGATTGTTCCAATCTTTCCAAGTAATTTTATTTCTCTCAGTAAGTCTCTTTTGAAGTACAGCCTGCAGAGAAATAGTGTCTTTTTCCTTACTTTGATGGGTAATTTCTCTCCTGTATTTTATTGTTGAATCCCTTGTACTTAAGAATGATGGTTGAACTGTACTAAAGCATTTGTAAATAAGGGAACCATGAGGAATAAGACCCAAAAACCTCAGGTATCTGGCATATATGTGAAAACCCAGAGAAAATAAAGTACAAATACCACCTGAAGAAGAACATAAAAGTGAACAAAAACACCATTTTGCAGCCTGGTATAATTATTTTAATGAGATAGTGTATTTTAATACAGTGATTGAAATGCTGCTTGTCTCATGGTTTTCATTTAGCTGCCCTCACTGTCTGCAATGGATCCTCCACCCCAGCTCAGCTCCTCCTAAAGGAGGAGTTTTTTTATGCATCATCCTGATTTGAGACACTTCAGGAAGAAATTCAGTTTCCACTTTTTTCTAAGCTAATGGGATCTGGTTGGCTTTTAGTAATGTCACCTGCTTCTGGTTTAAACTTTGGCAGGTCATGGTGTACGTGTGTGTTGTGCACATGTTCACTTTATAGCCCTACCAGCAACAGCCAATGCAAAGAAGTCCTTTCTCCACTTCTGTGACAGCCATCAGTTCCTCTATGACAAGCATTTTGGAATGATGACATAAATTCTGTCCCTCCATTTCAGTTAGATGTAAAGTAGGTATTTCTGACATAGTTAATGTCAGCAGGATCTCACATCACCTGACAACATACACTTTGAACTAAGACAGTCCTGTATAACCAGCATATCCTGGTGCCTTAGTTCACTGTACAGAAAGCCTGCTGCTTCCCAGTTCTGCAGCCAGCAGTTAAACATAATGCTCACATTTAGCTGATGCTGCTGGTAATTCTCAAGCAATCAAAAAGTAGGCCAGGCATATTTTTCTTTACTAAAATGAGACAAAGGAAATAAATCTCAGTTCAATTAACTGATGCACTGATCTCTCCTCTTAAAACAAACAACTACCTAGCAAACAGTTCTTTGTTATAAAGTGGTTAATTTTTGCCACTGGGAAAGGCCAGGCAAGTCTTCGCTGGCAGCACTTCATAGCTGAAAATCATAAAGGATAAAATGGATTATTTACCATGACCTAATCAGGTATTAGTCTGAGCTAACTCAGTATCTATGAACTACCATCTCCTTTACAGTGACCCAGGAGTCTAAAGTGGCTGGATGTCCTATGGATTTCCCTTTGAGCTTCCCCAGGAAATCTAACTTGCCCATGGGAGCAAAAACACATCTTTAGAAACCTGTGTATGGCCACTAAATTTCCTCCTACATCTTTCTTGTCTGACAGTAGTGTTAAAGACTACTCAATAAAAGGGAAAATCCCATCAAAGAATGATTTTATTATTAGATTTGTGGGTAGTGAGGAAAATGTTCCTCTCATTTTCCTTTCTTACAGTCCTTCTCTGCTACCATCAAGTCTTCCTTTTGCAGAAAATCCTGTAGCCTATACCTAATATTACCATTTTAAGGTTAAAAAACATCTAAAATAATGATGCAGATTCACATGAGGAGATTCAGATGGCAGGAGTAAGAATATCAAAGTTTAAGACCTGTATGAGATGGCTAAGGCTTATGCTCTTAGAAAAAGATAAGAAGTGAGAGAATATACGATTTGAAGTTTGTTAAAACTGGATCATTTTTTGTTGCTTGCTGCATTCTCTGGCAAGAGTAGAAGAAATCAGTTTAAGCTGCAGCAAACAAAAATAAACTTTTTAATTTTTCTAATGGCAAAATGCCTCATAGGCTACTAGCAACAGAATAATTTTAATTTCAGCTTAGGAACTGACTTTAAGTTTGGTTTAGGTCAGGGGTTGGCAGTCTCTCCCAGGTGGTATCCCATTTTGTCTTCTCTATCCTCAACTCAGATATAAAACTATCACCCATGTGAACCAATCGCGTGGTTCTGACAATTCTTTGTGATAAACTTACCACTGTGGGTTTACCAAGAGCATCTGTAAAATTCTTAGCTCACTAAACATCACATGTTGTTTTCCCAGCCGGATGTAGCACTATGCTACAGAGGTAGAAACTGATGCCTTCTTTCAAGGCCAGCCTCTGTGAGGTACTAGTTGGTATGAAGTTGTAGATAAGGAAAAGGCTGTATTTCACCCAATGGAAGCATGGATGTGATTGTGGAGATGAGTGTTTTTTGATAAGCCAGTCATGATGTAGCAGAAAATGTAGGTAGCTGTTCTGGAGCAAACTGACAGAGCAGGAGGGAAAAGCTAAGAACATTGAAGCTGATGAAGCTCTAGAGAATGTAAGTCTTATTTACCTGGGCAATCATATCTGCGGTTTCAGAATAACTGCGACACTTTTTCACAGCTGAATGAGCTAAAAAATCATCAATCAGCCTTATGCCAATGCCATATCCCCTAAGGAGAAAACAAAGGAAGTTAACATTCAAAATCAGGAACTTCTTTCCACCTACCATCTCCCTAATCTGTCTGTGTTTTCTCACTTTTCTCAGCAAAACAGCTACATGTTCCTAAATGAATGGCTTTGAGGACAACAGAATTTTCTGGTCTAGATTCTTATTTCTACCACATTTTGCAGCACAGTGGTATTGTAGTTCATGTAGTCATTTAAGGAATCATACTCCTTTAAGCACAATACTCCTGGCAAGGATGTAGATAGATATAGATATATCTATCTATCTATATATATCTATATCTATCTCTATATATCTATCTATCTATATATATATGTTGTTTATATACACATTGTCTATACATACATTTATATTTACACATATGAATAAATATTAGATATATTAGTATAACATACAAATAATAGATAGATAATATACAAATAATACACCTGATTAATAACGCCTTGTCACTAAAAATAGGGTAATATAGCACAGGATTTTCTCCATTCTTTTGTGATCCCCAGAGTTCATCTCACTGTCTCTGTCAAGGAGAACAAAGCAACTGCACCTTCAGATCACAGCATTCACCCCTGGGCTGGTATGGAGTTCAGCAATTCCTGGGCACCCGCATTGCAGAATTCAGGTGCCAGGAAAGCCCACCAGAAATTAATTCACACCTGACCTCTTTCACTTTAACCTCTTATCTCTTCACTTGATTTTTTGTTCTTCCTCCACAATTCCCTCTTTACCATTTTTTCTAGCGTGTTCTCTCCCTTCAGCTACTAGTTGCAGAAAGAATCCAAAAGTTGCTAGTTAATATACAGTTTCAGTACACCACCACCTTCATTTTGTATTTAAAACACTACCATTTCAGAGAAATTAAATAAAAAAGGAAGTCAATGGAATTTTTTATAAAACAAATATTCATTCCTTGTTTGCACATATTAACAAAGGTAGAAACTACATAGTGTGCAAAACAGCTATGCCTCCAAGCATTTTTTGAAGAAGAGAAAGAGATTGGTACAAATGTGAACTCAACTCAGAAATGTTTTTAGGGAATTTTTTGTTTCTGTTTATGTGGATGTTGCCAGTCTCTGCCTGCCAGAGGCCCTACACCCTCAGTGAAGTAGCTTGAACTTGATGGAGTTTCTTACTGATTTTATATTGTGTCTTTGACAAGAAGCCAAAAAGTGATCTTATGTCTAATGTGATGACAAGACCAAAAAGAGGTTTTGGCAGCGTGAAGTTTAAAATTGCAGTATGTCACGCATCAGAAAACAATGAAATATTTATTTATTGCCTAAGTATAAATACCAATAACATTGGTAAATATGTCATCAGCAGTTAGCAAGGTATGTACTGGTGATGTGCAACACTACTTAGATCCTTTACAACCTTTATGCCTTAGATTTGCAAAGTCAAATCAATTTGGCAACTGTACAGTGAAAAACACCCGTCTCACTACAGATTATATATGTACATATATATATAGAGAGAGAGCTAAGAATCCTGTCTCCAACTGTCACAGGTTTACTAATCTATAAGGTTTCTTCCTCAAGCTGGGCTGTTTTCATCTTCACAGAAGTAAAGATGGTCATATTGCTTTAATGAAACCTGTCATTATTTTATCAAGTCTTTATCAAGACAAAATCAAAAAGATTTTATAGAAATAGCTATAATAATAAAAACATCAGGAGCAAAATAGGTCTCCACATCTTCCAAAACTACCCTTTAGTAATTTCTACCATAGCATCAGAAAGAAGCCTGTGTATTTTTGAAATGTATGGTTTTCGTCAGAGCTGAATGAGAGATTAATATAAAATAAATATCTGAGAGACGTTGTCTCTTCTTAGTTTACTAACAAACTACTATTCTTTTTTCCAATTAATTACTTTTATACTCACTTCCATTGATAGGTATTGGACTATAGCTTGTTTGCAAACTTTCAGATTAATAGTAAAGTGGTCAGGTATTCTGTCCACAGTGATTATTGTAAATCCATTTTGCATGTCCATTTTGCCTGAAAACACAAGCCTTACTCTTCTGCTGAAGACCTTAGTATATTTTCTTGTTAACCTGCTCAAAAATAGTTTCTTGCTGATTTTCTGCAATATTATTTTTACTGTGATAATGCCTAGGAATCTCAGTCAGGATGACAGGATGCTATAAACATAGGGGTTTCATTTTGCAAAAAGGTTATCCATGTAAAAACCAGTTCCTCGTTGATCATTTGTATTATCTCACTCATTGCTGTATGGTCTTTTAAAGGTGAGAGGCCTGTCTGCCCCTAACTCAGGAAGAGGGTATGAGAGCCACCCCACAGGGGACAATTTAGAGCCCAACACCTGAATTACACCCTCAGAGAAGTGACTGACTACAAAAGGAGGCTGCCTGTTTACTGAGTCACCTAAGCCAAATCCTTACAACCTGGAATTGTGACTACTTCTGAGCTCTCCAAGTCAAAAAACCACAGTGCAGCCAGATAAGGGGGAGCAATAGGAAAGCCTCATCAACAGTGAACACAGAAATGCATGTTAACTAGAAAATATCTGCGAGAAACAAAAAGTTTGTCTAGTTTGAAACAACATGGGTACAAAGAAATAGAAGAGGAGAGTTAACATGGAAGTTGAAATTGAATACTTGGATATAGGAGATAAAATTTAGAAATTTATGTTATTAATTAGCTTAACAAAGGACCAGCAAAGAACAAGTGTAAGCTATCAAAACAATCCTGACACTTTTCTTCCGAGAAGTCAAAATCTAATTGTTGATCTTAATTCACAAATTAGCATTATTTCTGTTGACAGAATATTGAACTTTATCGCCATGATCTCTCTAACCCTAGACAGAGTGCTGGGACTCGTAAGATAACAGACTTAAAGCTGAAAGGCAACATATAGGTGGACAAATAGCATTATCAAAAAAGCTGAACAATTAAAGCAGTACTTACATTCTATCTAAACAGGTGTTGACATCTTCATCTTTTTCATAGTCCTTGCACAGCTGGGCTACCAAAGCCCCATATGTGAGTACCAAAAGTTCTCTGCTCTGCCAGAAAAGGTGAAAATAAAAAAGGAAGCAAACTAGAATCAAACTTTTCCACATTTTTGAGCTACTACTGTATTAAAAGCCAGTACAAGTAACATTTACATTAATCAATAAATTTTTGTCCATGGACATATAACCACTGAAATCCACGATTCAAGTGTGACAGAGCCTAACTTGATCATCACTTGAGTCTCTGTAAGGATTTTGCTTGTCAGAAATACCATTTACTGGGATACAGCTACTTTCATCCGGTACATTCTTGCATCCTAGAACAGCACATATGTATGGTGGATTGATAAATGCTGTCAAATACCATCCAAGATTAATGACAAGTGTTTAGTTACAGGAATTTTAATTGAGGTGATGAGCTATAAGTCCTTTTACAATAGGAATAACAGGAACAACTGAAATTCTGGTAGCTTCAAAAAGGTATGGTTGATCTGATTCAGATCATCAGCTGCTTTCAAAAAAAAAATAAAAAGTAGATAAAATAACCTCAGAATTATAAAAAATACTATACTGCAGCACAAGTGTAAAGAATAACAACAAGCAGAGTAGAAAATAATCAGTCCCCATTGACATTTCTCCTTCTTTATCAGTCTTCACAAGTAACTCGAATCACTGTCAATACTAGCTCTCCAAATGCCTGGACAATCTCATTGTGACACTATTTCTTTATCTTAATACAGAAGATGTGGTTGGTATGGCTCCACCGCATGAGCAGGATGAAGGGGACAGGTGAGGATAACAGCCACCTGCCCAAGGAGCACGGAGAGCAATTGAAGAGGTCAAAGGCGTATCTCTGCACAGATCCTGTCACAAGCATTAGTCTGGGATCTCCAGCTGTGCACCAGCCTGGAGGAAAGTTTTCTTTGCTCCCTGCCCTGCCAGATCACCTCCATGGCACTGCAGAACTGACTGCATTTAGCAGGAGTAGCAGCTGGCCTTTGGGCCAGAGACTAGGTTGACTCTCACTAAACTTCTTGGACAGGAATTAACTAAAGGAAATGCCACAGGCCTGTGGCATGTGGGCAGACTAGAGGTGCTTTTTGTTTATAGTCTGTGGAAAAATAATAGTGAATACCAATGAAAAAATAGAACAAATCACACAAGGAAAGGAAGAATGGCTTGGTGGAAAAACCTCTTTGTGTTTCACAGAATGTTAAGGATTGGAAGGGACAACGAAAGATCTTCTAGCCCCACCCCCCTGCCTGAGCAGGAACACCTAAATGAGATCACACAGGAAGGCATCCAGGCAGGTTTTGAACATCTCCAGAGAAGGAGATGCCACAACCTCTCTGGGCAGTCTGCTCCAGTGCTCTGTCACTCTCAGAGTGAAAAAGTTTTTCCTTATGTTTACATGGAACCTCCTATGCTCCAGCTTGTATCTATTGCCCCTTGTCCTACTGTTGGACATCACTGAGAAGAGCCTGGCTCCATCCTCCTGACATTCACCCTTAACATATTTGTAAACATTAATTAGGTCTCCCCTCAGTCTCCTCTTCTCCAAGCTAAAGAGACCCAGCTCCCTCAGCCTTTCCTCATAAGGGAGATGCTCCACTCCCTTAATCATCTTTGTGGCTCTGCGCTGGACTCTTTCAAGTAGTTCCCTGTCCTTCCTGAACTGTGGGGCCCAGAACTGAACACAAAATCTTGGAGTTCAATCAATGTTCCTATTTTAACAAGTCACTGTTCAAAAATCTTAAGTAGTATGGAACTATTTTCTAAACTCGTCTTGGTGATAACTCCTTTTTACAATGTTGCACACTGCCAAGTTCTTGTTAACAAGTTTTTAGTGGAGCAAATGGACATCATACAGGTTCTGTATTGTTCTAGTCTCAGCAAAAAGGCTGTGTTGTAATAAGGCAAATACCTTAGAGAAACTTAAGCATACTGTATCAATATAATTGTATTTATCAGCCACTCTTGCAATCCATTGGAGTACTTTTTTCCATAAACTTATGTATATTAACTTTAATTAGAACTTTAATTATATTATATTCTTCTATTTCTTTTTTGGTGGAGACCACTGTCCCCTTCTCAAAAATTGACACAACATTGTCTTTTCTTTACCAGCAACTTGCTCTCTCTTCAGTTTGTAATATATATGTATACATAGATACGTGAGTCATAATTATACTTTTAGATGCAAATATATTATCTTCAAGACACAATACTATTACTGGGTTTTTTAAACCACTGTGGCCTTATTTCCACATTATGGCACTTTGGTTGTTTGGACTTGCGGTAAAATATTCCTAAACAGTTATAAATTTTCAACCACAGATAGAGAGTCTGAGGAAACTGAATTTTTCATATTTAGACACCACTGCCAGAGAATAAGAAGCATAACTGGTAACTTTAATGCCAAAAAATACTGCTTTTTCTGACCAAGGAGTTTAAGAAGGCCTCTTGGATAAATCTTGCATGCAGTATATATAAAACCACTGCTGGAGCTTTAGGAGAATATTAACATGAAGTTCAGAAAAAGAAGGAAGTTTTGGTCTATATAACTTCTACTCAGTCTACTTCTGTGCTATGTGATCAATGGTCAAAGGCAACATTCAAAGACAACAGTTACAGTTTTACCATTGTTTCCCCAAGAATCAGATTTTGGCCTTAAAGCCAGTTGTTGAGATCCTGTGATGGTGCGCTCCCTGCGCATAGAGAAAATGCAAAATTAGGAGGATGAAGAAGGACCTCTGCTCACGCAACATCACCCCCAAAGGAGGACGTGGTCTGCTATGCAGGAGGCACACAGTGGGTAGCAGGCATACTGCAGCCCCAGATGAACCATCTCTTCCTGTAACTGTTCATGGGGTAGAGATGTGGCCGGTGCAGCTTCTTTTCTCCAAGACAAGAATAGAATCTTGGCCTCGAGATTCATGTTGAGGGCAGGACTGTCTGAAAATCATTCCATGTCATAGCCAAGGTAGCTGGAGAGGTATGAAGGCTCCTAGAGCAAATCTTAGTATTACTGCTCAGAGTCAGACTCCAAGTCCTGCAGGCAGGCTTTTTTATGTCACTGCTTAATACCTGGCAGCTTGTTGGCAGCTCACAAGGGGGTCCCACTGTACCCATAAATGCTGCCAGCACCTCTGTTCTCATACTGGCAGACTCAGCCCCATCCTTTCAGTACCCTCAGGCTATTCAGAAATACGACTGTATAAAACACATCAATACAATAATAGCTTATTCTTACTCCATGCACAATTTAAACCACATATTACAAAAATGTCTTACTATTTTGTGGTTCTCTTGCTTTCTTCCTTGTGGCCGAGACATGTTGCCTGATGTACCTGATTGTCAGTTTATATCTCTTCTTCCTCAAGCAGCATGGTTTTCTCTCA